GAGGCCAGCGCGTCGTATGACTCGGACGTACCCGGAGACTCGCCGCCTAGCCGAGCGGGTTGCCTGCCCGTGAATCCGAACAGTGGTGCTGACTCCACCGGCCAGGGAGCGACATACGCCTCGGCTGAGGCATCGGAAGCCAGTGATGAGCTGAGTGATGGTGACAGCGTGACGAACGACGGTTCGGAGGATGACCGCGACGTGGTAGCAGTGGCCGAGACAACTACATGGGATGTCCTGCCAACAGGGACCGCTGCGTCCAGCCTGGAGCCAGAGGAAACGTCGGCTGCGGTGTGTAGTAGCGAAGTCGACTGGGGTAAACACGACCCAGGGCCTAACGACGTTCCTACTGAAGCCGGAACCTCCACCGCTGACGCCGACACTGAATTCCATGATTCGGATCTAAGTGCGATCGACGACCCCGAGCAGCTACTGGAGGCGACCTATATCTCGGTCATGCATGCCATGGTTGCAGAAGGGTCTGGCGAAGGTGATGACACCGTGAAAGACGTTTCGGAGCACGTCGCGAATGAGATTGAGCTTACCGACTACGCGCAAGAGCTAGCGTTCTTGCCGGACCTAACCGAAGCGTCGGAGACGACGCTGGACTACTCGGGGCAAAACGTCCAGAGTGACCAACTCAGCGTGAAGCAGCAGACGACCCTGGTCGATGTGCTGAAGAGCCACGAGAAGATCATGATTGCGAGCGGTAACGCCCTGCCGCCTCCAGCCTACGGGGTCGTGTGTGACATCAATGTACAGGGGCACGCGCCAATCAAGCAGAAGGCTCGGCGGACCCCGCTTCGCTGACTCGGTAAGCTGTACGAATTGCTGAAGGGTCTGTTGAAGGCCGGGCTAATCTCCTTCTCGGACAGCCTATGGGCGTCGCCAATCGTCATCGTCCTGAAGAAGAATGGGGTGGATATCCGCCTGTGTATCGACTACAAACTCGTTAATGCGATCACCGAGATTATGGAGTACGCCATGCCCCTGGTGGATGACTTGCTGACGGACATGGAGGCGTACTTGTGGTTTTGCTCGCTTGACGCCGCTAGCGGCTTCTGGGCCATTATGATGACCGAACGAGCTCGGAAGATCTCTGCTTTCGTCTGCGCACTGGGGCACTTCGAATGGTTGCGTATGCCTTTCGGCCTGAAGAACGCACTGATGATCTATCAACGCATGATTGACAACGCGCTTTGGGACTTCGTCCAACCGACGGGAGGATGGTTTAAATTCTCGGAGCGCATGCGTCTAGCTGAAGAACATGACAAGGAAGCTCATGCTGGGGTGAACGAGGCTTCGACTGGCACGGCAAAGCCATTCCGGACCAAGTTCGAGGCCGACCGAGACAACTCGCTTGGTAAGGGAGCTGTAGCCGAACTGGTCAACAGCCCTATCGCCGACATGTTCGCCAACGGGGAGCCCGATGACTCCTCGTTGACACCAGTATTCAGTCGCCGGTCATTCGTGGATGATATCAGTTTCGGTGCCGAGACTTTCGAGTCGTGCTTGGCGACGCTAGACCGATTGCTGGCACGGTTTGAAGAGTGCCGTATTAGTATCAGCTTCACGAAGAGCATCTTTGTGCAGTCCAAGGTAGACTTCCTGTCCCACGAAGTCTCGGCAGAAGGTATCCGACCGGACGCTAAGAAGCTGGCTGGGGTGACCGAGCTTCCGTTCCCGTCAACGAGGAAAGGAATGCAGTCCTTCCTTGGGGCACTCAACTATTACAGTCGTTTCATCCAAGACTTCGCGGTCTATGGAGCAGCGCTGTACCAGCTTAAGGACGAGGACTTCCAGCCCGGGGGTGACCTCACCGCTGCCAAGCACAGCTTCGCGATGCTCCAACAGAAGGTTTCGGCAGCACCGACACTACGACACTTCGACCGGAAGAAGGAGGTGCATGTCATGTTGTTCGCCAACGAGTGGGCTCTAAGTTCCACGTTGATGCAAGAGCAAGAGGGCAAACTACACCCCGTTCGCTTCTGCGGACGTGTTTTGAAGGATGCTGAGATGAATTATCACCGGCCGAGAAAGAGGTCCTCGCGCTTCTGCTGATACTGAAGGTGTGTTATACTCAACTCGTTGGACAGCGAATCCGGGTCTACACTCGGTTTTCGACACTCGACTGGGTCCACAAGTCCAAGACATTGTTCGGTCGGGCTACCCAGTTCGCCGTCTTGCTGTCGCCGTGGCACCTGTTGGTCGAACGAGCCAAAGAAACAGACTGTTCGTTTGCTCTGCTACTTCAAGCCGGCTTGACGAACTTCGTTGACTTGGATAAGTCACTGGCGTTGGTCACACCCCGGACACGAGGGTCACCAACTGCTCGTTTGGACCCGCATCTGCTTACGCACGCCTACCGCGGTCCTACCGAGGCTTCGTTATGTCGTTTGACGGGTCTGCGAAGACCGAGAAGAACGCTGGATACGGCAGTTGCTCGTGGATACTATGGAAGCTACCAGAGTGGACAGTAGTGCTTGCTGCGAGCGCTTACCTCGAGAGCACCACGGTCAACCTCGCTGAGTACACCGGGATGAACAACGGCGTCTCTGCTGCATTACAGCATGGAGCCGACGATCTAGTTGTCGTTGGCGACTCGAGGCTCGCGATCCAGCAAGCCCTAGGGGTGATAGCCTGTCGGAAGGAGTCATTGCTGCAACAACTCAGCCACCACCAAGAACTCACGGCCAAGCTTCGGTCGGTGAAGTACCTGCATGTGGTGAGAGAGTTTAACGCTGCGGCCGACTCTCTGGCAAGCGAGACTCTCGAGTGCAAGGAGTCTACGGTGGTATCGTCGGACGACCGAGTATTAGAGCTGATGAAGCTGAACCGTATCGCTGAAGTCATCTACGAGGCTGCTGACGGGTGCGTCGTCGAGGACATACCCTCGGCCAACACAGTATGGGCCGTGGTAGCTTCTGCCAAACCTCGTAGCAAGAATTTTTTCGATTTTGTGCGAAGAGAAACCGACCGCAGACGGCAGAACGAGACTGAACCCGGACACGTAGCTGTGATGACCAGACGTCAAACGAGAGCAAAGGAGAAACACGTCCGGTTTGCAGATGAAGTCTCGGTCACCGATCAGGGAGACGCATCTCACCGAGTAGAAGCCAATGGTGTGCCGAACGAGTCTCAGAATGAAGCAGAAGCTTCACCGCTGCGTGCCGAGACGTCACCAGCCCCACCGAACGCAGAAGACATTGACCCGCTGGTAGTACAGGAAGAACGCCGAAGGAGAATCGCCTCCGCTCAAGATGAAGAGTTACGGTGCTCGAATCTGAAGGCAGTGCCCCGGGGAGATGATGCGAAGATTGGATACAGAGCAGCACGAGATGCATGGAAAATGGCGGACCAATTTGTGTTGAGCGAGGACGATGTGCTATATTACACAAGAACGAGCCGTCGTTCAAGTGACGGCGAGCAAGCCGAGTTGAAGATGAGACTCGTGGTGCCCACAACGATGATCCAAGAGGTCCTGCAAAGCTGTCATGACTCACTTGAAGGCGGTCATCAAGGTATTACCCGTACGCTACATCGAGCGGCGAGAGACTATTACTGGATCGGTCAGTATGCCGATGTGGAGAAACACGTTAAGTCGTGCCCTGACTGCAGTTCAAGTAAGAGCCGACCTCAGTTCCGCGGGTACTCGCCAGGGAACATCCTAGCCGAGAGACCCTTCCAACTAGTCTCTATGGACTTCGTGATACCGCTACCGAAGAGTCGCCGTGGCAACACGGCTCTCCTGCTATTCCAATGCTCGTTCACGGGATTCGTGATGGGCAAAGCCATGTCTGACACTACCGCCTTACTCGTTGCGCAAGCTTTCGAGGAGTGTGTCTACCAACGTTTTGGAGCACCGTCCTTGATCCGTCATGACCGAGATCCTCGATTTATGAGCGAGGTCTTCCAAGCCTTCGCGGAAATGATGCAGTCTCGGTCGAGAGCGACCCTGAGATACCGCCCGCAGGCCAACGGCCAGCAGGAGAGATCGGTGAAGACGATCATGCAGTCAGTCCGCGTATGCGCTGAAGACCCACTACAGCAGGATTGGGACGAGATCGCCGAAAGACTGATCTTCGCCATCAATAGCTCCCGTGATACGACGAGGAAGGAAACTCCGTTTTACCTCGTTCATGGGTGGGATGCACAGTCGACGCTCAAGGCAATGTCCTCGTCACTCAAACGAGGCTTCGGTAGCCAAACTGATGCGCTAGCATGGCGCCGAGAGGTCAACCGACAGCAGGAAATCGCCCTGAGGATGGCCAAGGAGTACAAGCCGCGGAAAAGGCTCGAAGAGCTGAAGAGCACAATGCGTCGCTTGGCAGGAAGGAGAAGGAAGCCATGGCAGGCGTCAACGAGAATAGAACCTCGGTCGACCGGGCACCGAGTTCCCCTGACCATAGTAGAGCTGCAGTGACGAGAACGAGGTTCTCTTTGCAGCCCGGGAGCAGAGTGTGGCTGTACATGGAGCGGGTTCGACCAGGACTGACCAAGAAACTAGCCCATCGGTGGCACGGACCGTTCCGCGTGAAGAAGATTGATGATGAAATGGGTATGCAAGTTGTCGACACCGGATACCCGCAGGAGACCGGGTGTACAGTTGTCAAAATTGGGCTGTCATGCGAAAACATACCCGCAACGGAGCTAGCGTAAGTACGCCCGGTCTCCCGCGAATCAAGTCCGGTCTTCAACGAGCATAAAGCCCGATCTTCTTGCAGGGAGACAAGACGAAGCCCGGCTGCCGCAGCTACGAACCAAGCCTCGTTTGAGGCAGCCACAGCGGTCGAGGGCAGAGAAGAAGCTCTGGGAACCGCGACCGAGTATTGAATGCGATGTGCGTTGACGCGAGAAAAGATTATGAAATGGAACGAACAACATGACGTTATTTTGGATTGGGATAGCACATGCAGCGTCGCCTAAAGCGCCACGGACCTCGGTCGACATTGGAAAAGAACGTGAACGAAACGGTGAAGCTGGAGCGTGGCCTAACGAGGCTAAATCTCCATCACAGCCTGAGCCAACACGCCCAGACTTGACCCGGCGGCGGAAGAAGCATCACCCGACTCCTTCGTCTCCTCATCGGGGCTTGGAGAGCGAGAACGACGAGCGTTTGCGAACTCGGCCACCCATGGAGCGACCACCATCGAAGTCCGCAGAGAAGATTCGACCACGACCGACGACGCCACGGTTTCCCGAGTCGATCCGTTGGGGACAAACAACGGGACGTCGTTGCAAGCCGTGTTGTAGGGGTGGTCTGCTGGCGCTTGGAACCAACAGTTACGCCACGGCTCGCGGGCATCCACGTCCGCCACCTCGGAGGCCCAGTCGTCGGTAGTGGGGACCCACTCAATCACCTCGAACGAGTATTGCAGGTACGACGGCTCCAGCAAAACCTCGGTGCGGTGCTGTGGAGGTTGTCCGTCTTACGTAATGGCCCCATTCCACACCTTGTGGAGCATCTGGTCTCGCAAGCGATCTGCACGATAACTGCGCTCTCGGTGGTACTTGGACCACGCTTGTCGAAGCGCTAGGACTTGCACGTTGCGCTGACCGAGGGTGCTGGCGAGGTTGTCGATATACGCCTTGACAGCTTTACCCCTAAGCCAGTGGCGACGCTCCCACAAGGCGAAACCAAGGTCGCCCCTCTCGGTGGAGTGGTAGGAGTACCCCTGGAACTGCCGCCATAGGCGAACGAGAAGAGCCCGACCAGTTGCACGACGGGATATAGCCACCGAGGATGGAAAACCCGTCGTATCGATCAAACAAGGCTCGTCTGGGAAAAGCTGGCGCAACACTTGGAAGGGGTGAGCAGGATCCGTCCACAAGCCAAACTCCACGATTCCATCCACTGAACTGGGGGCGACCAAGTCGTCCTCGAAGACGAGGGGGACACTGGCGTTTTGGATGAGATGCCAGCATTCCGACGCTCCGGGTGCCGTGAAACCCGGCTCCAAGAACAGGGTAGCAAGACCACTGAGCTTACGCGATCCAGGAGCTACGTCGGAAGCGTCAACCACTGCTGGGGCAATCGACGCAGGTCCAGCCCTCGGTGAAGCTGTCACCGTTGCTGTTACCATCGCCCGAGCGTGAACAGAGGCCGACCGAGTGTGGAGTCGACTCGGGAGTGGCACGGTGGCCGCTTGTGGAGCTACAGGAACTCCGGTCGCGGCAGCCAGAGGAGAAGGAGCCTCCGAAGGAGCGACAGGTTGCGCCACCGAGGTTTCCTCTCTTTCGTCGGGGCCGAACATCTCCAGGAACAACGCTGCGCGGTCCTCGGAAGTCTCGGACTCATGAGGCGACTCACCGCTAGGTGAATGGTCTGGCGGGCCGCCAGAGCCCTCGGCGACCCCAGCAGCCGATTCTCGAGGGGCACGGCCGACGCCGGCTATACCAGACGAGACTGGCGAAGGAATGGAAGTCGCCGCCGAAGGCGAAACCTCGTATGGAACCTCGATGACAGTACCGGAAGGCTCGGTAGCAGAACCTTGAACACCCTGAGCGCTGGCCGACACCCCCGGAATCTCGCCGGGCTCAAGGTCATCTTGTGAAGAGTCGCTAGGACTCATACCCCCTCCAAACTCCACGTCAGACGATTCTTGCTGCTGGGCTGGGGCTGGCGAGGGAGGCGAGGCGCGACTGGCCAGCCGAGGATACAAGGGGACGTCTGAGTGTTCGTACGGGAGAGGCTGAGACTCCAACCAGCTTGAGCGAGCCGTCGTTGGAGGACGCACCATCGACCGAGGAGGCGGGGAAATCTCTCCTGATGCCGAACGAGGATTGGATGGCGCGGCGGCCGCTGCAGCCCGGGCCCTCAGGTCGACTGACGGTCTGCCGAAGCGTTTGTGAGGAGGAGGCTGGGATGCCGTATTCCCGACGGAAGCAGACTCGGTTTGCCGGCCCGCTTGCGCGATGACGACTCAGTGGAGACCGGGGAACCAGCAGAAGCGTCCACCGAAGCAGCGGCAGCGGACGTAGCCTCGGTGGACTCAGCCATCGGCACGTCGGTCGTCTTGGACTCCTCTCCCTCCTCTGACGAGAATTCGTCATGGCGTGGACTCTCGACAGTGACCGTCGGTGGGGACAGCCCGAGAAGATTCCAATAAATCTCTGCGGCGGAGATGCCGGCTGAGGCCAGGACCAAGGTGTCGACGTCGAGTCCGTGTGCTGCCGAGTGCCGATGAAGGATAGAATTCACTCGCCGCAAGCTGTTGTTCTCGTCCGTCAACGCTTGAATGCGTGCGGGGATGACGTTTGCTCGGTCGCGGTCGGCCAACTGCTTCCGAAGCCTCTCCAACTGAGTGTTGTAGGTAACGAGGCTTGCACTTATACGCTCGTGGAGCTGGGTGTTCCGACGTACAGCAGCGGCCGAATCGGCCTCAGCAACGAGCGTCCGCTTCTCCAACGACTGAGTGACGTCAGCGTGGTGAGCGATGGCCGCGTTCGCTTGCACCAACTGAGCGCTGGTGTTGCTGAGCTGGACGCGCATGTCCGGAGCTGGTGCTG